GCCGAGTTCCTCATTTTAATTTCATACCAGAGACCACTCCAAGTGATGATCAAAATAACATGTCCGCTAACCCAAGAATTGAAGCTTCCTCCATCACCTCACTTTCTATCCAATAACTTCAAGACATGATAGTGAATTACATAAGAGAACAATACAGTGGTGTTCCTCAAAGTGCTCATATGTACTCAAAGCTTTATACAAAAAGAATTGATATCTTAAAAATGCTGGTTAGGTATCAACCTCCAAAGTTTCAACAGTTTGACGAAAAAGGCAATCCCAAGCAACATGTTGCATACTTTATAGAAACTTACGGCAATGTTGGTACAGACGGAGATCTCCTTGTCAAGCAATTCGTTCGTTCCCTCAAAGGGAATGCATTTGATTGGTACACAGAACTCAAAGCTGAAGGTATTGACAGTTGGGAGCAGATGGAATGAGAATTTCTTAACCGTGGTTAACCTAAAACAGATGAAGGGTGAACCCATAGTTAACTACATCAACCGTTGCCAAGCTCTAAGTCTTGACTGCAAGGATCGTTTATCTAAAATTTCTGCAGTTGAAGCATGTATGAAAGGCATGCGCTGGGAGCTTCTTTACATCCTACAAAGGATTAATCCTTGCACATTTGAAGAGCATGTTACTCGAGCCCACGACATGGAGCTTAGCATGGAAAATCATGGTGCTAAGGAAAATGTTCCTAATATAGCCGATAACCTTCAAGAAGATGAGGGAAGTGAGTCCGAAGAAGAAAACAATATACTTCATAACTCGGATAACGAAATAGCTTCATCTTTTATTATAAACATCATCTCGATAGATTTGGATCAAAGAATACACCATGCTACAACAATGACTTCAACCGAAAGTGCAAAATCACTGGGGGCATTAAGTCAAGGAAACCAAGAAGAAAGGCATTAAGTCAAGGAAACCAAGAAAAAAATCCTCAAAGTGTGACGAGATAGTCCGTGTCCTCCAGTATAAGGTTGGATTGTCATTTTATTCTTGCAAAGTTAAAGAATAATAAAAATTAAAGTGCTCCTAGATACAAGTGTAAACTTTCGATGACACTCCTTGACACAGTTTAAACTGTTTATTTGGAAAAAAAAATCAAGAACTCCTTGACACGAGTATAAACTAACTACCTGAAAATATATATATATATATATATATAATTAAAAATAAAAAAAAAAATCAAGAACTCCTTGATACGAGTTTAAACTGTCTACCTGAAAAAAATATATATATCAAGAACTACGAGTTTAAACTGTCTCCAAAAATAAATAAATACACTCCTTGACATGAATTTAAATTGTTTACCTGAAAAAAAAAAAAATCAAGAACTCTTTGATACAAGTATAAACTGTCTGGGAAAAAAAAAAACTCCTTGACACCAATATAAACTTTTTCGGGAAAAAAAAAAAATTGAACTACGTGATGACTTGATCCCTGTTCAGGGTACGTAGGCATCTTGGAGGCCTGTTCCAAGTTCAGTCCACTAAAAAAAAAAAAAAAAACTCCTCAGAGTTGCAAAATGGCAAAGTGTGCTCCTTAAGAGATATCAAAGGGACTAGTCGCAATTAATCAACTTGGCTTACTGTCAAGATATTGTTGTCGCTCGTCACAAATTTTCAACTTAGCTCGTGATCAAGATGTTGGCACTCATTATGCGATATCAAAAGTGCTTGTCGCACCTGTCAACTTAGCACGCCACCAAAGTGTAGCTACGAAGAAATAAATTGGTTCATCGTCAGACTATAGCTACCAAGAAAATTCTGCTCGCCACTAAGGTATTACTAAAAGGGAAATTTGGTTTTCCGTCGAGGTGTCGTTGAAGAAAAAAATTATGCTCGCTGCTGAGGTATTGCTAAAAGGAAAAAGTGACTTTGCATGTCCAATGAAGTAGATAATTTAATATTAAGTCCAATGGATTCTTCATTAATCTAATCAAAATCGAAGTTGGTAAAGCCACAAATGGCTTTGCATGTCCAATAAAGTGGATAACTTAATATCAAGTCCAATGGATTCTTCATTAATTTGATCAAAACGGAAGTTGGTGAAGTCGCAAGTACCTTTGCATGTCTAATGAAATGGATAATTTAATATTAAGTCCAATGGATTCTTCATTAATCTGATCAAAACCAAAGTTGGTGAGTTCGCATGTAGCCTTGCGTGTCCAATGAGATAAACAATAGTAATTGTCAGGATCAGGCATTCAAATGTGTGTCCAAAGAGATGAACAATTTTCATTGTTAGGATCAGTCACTTGATGGCATTGCGACCGAGAAGTGAGTCAGATACACTTAATGTGGTTCCTTGGCCTCTTCGACCACTTTCACCCTCTAAGATAGTCATCTTTTGCTTTTTAAAATACTTGAATACCACTATGATGGAAAAACAAATAAAATTTGAAGCTCGATCGGTGTTGTTTGAGAAAAGGACTCAATCTTATGTTTTGCAAAATTTTGAAAAAAAAAAAAAGAAAGAAGACAAAAAGCGGAAAAGACAAAAATTAGAAAAAGACAAAGAAGAAAAAGATAGAGCATAAAAAGACGAAAATTAGAAAAAAGACAAAGTAGAAAAAGATGAAAATCATAAAAGACAAAGCTGAAAAAGATAAAGCAGAAAAGACAAAAAGCAGAAAAAGAAGAAAATCAGAAAAGACCAAAAAAAAAACCAATTAGAAAAGACAAAGAAAAAAAAAATGAAGTAGAAAAAGATAGAGCATAAAAAGACGAAAATTAGAAAAAAGACAAAGTAGAAAAAGATGAAAATCATAAAAGACAAAGTTGAAAAAGACGAAGCAGAAAAAGACAAAAATCAGAAAAAGACAAAAATCAGAAAAGACCAAAAAAAAAAAAAAACCAATTATTTGCTCGAGGCAAGTCGAGGTTGCAAACTGACAAGTCTTCAAGAGCTGCAATCTAACAAGTCTTCAGAGGTTGCAATATAATAAGTCTTCAGAGGCTATTGAAATTGATGTCAAACCCTATAACATTTGTGATATATATAAACAACAAAATACCTTCTATTTGTACTATGATTTATATAATTCAATTCAAATTGGAAAGGGATTTCAAAATACCTCCTATTTGTACTGGGATTTGTATAATTCAATTCAAATTGGAAAGGGATTTTAAAAGACTAAGTTAGATACTTCAAGTTCCACTTGAAATAAGAGACAAGTCCGACCAAACGTGGGACTCGAAGTGAGGGCAATTTTTAGACACTAAAATTTTAATGGACTTTTGTTTTGACATTTAATTGAATTATTTAATTGGCCCAAACTTGGTCCACTTAAAATTTTTAATTAGCCCAGTTTAGGTGATTAAATAAAAAGATAATTATTCCTAATAAAATATATTTGGAATAATTATGGACAATTATCACAATATATCGATAATTATCACAATATAACCGGCCCGACCCACTTATGATTTTGTCTTTATTAGGAGAGGACGCGTGTCATCTACCTATTAATCCAAGAAGCTTATAAATAGAGGCATGGAGGAAGAAGGAAGGGGTCTAGAAATTGAAAGACTTAGAATTCCAAGGGTCCAAAAATTTAGAGATTCAGAAATCCAGAGGGCTAGAAATCCCAGAGAGAAATACAGAAGTTCTGTCAATACTCATCCCCAACATCCAAACCTAAAGGCGAAGAGCAACATGCACATCAAATCGTGCCGTTTTTCATCAGAACTCCACAGTGATCAACAACAAGCACATCAAATTGTGTTATTCTTCATCAGAATTCCACGGTAATCAACAATAAACACATCCAAAGTCGTACCGTTCTTCACCAACTTCAACAAATTCTCTCTGAAGGGGAAGAACAACAAGCACATCCAAAGTAATGCCGTTCTTCCTCAAATTCAACAAAGGACAATAAACACATTAAAATCGTGCCGTTCTTTCTCCGTAATTCAACAAGTTTGACGAATCACCACACAATACTGTCCGAGATTAAGCTTCGTCAGCCCTTGATCAGAAATCATCGGCGATCTTCTTCAACTACAAATACTTGAAGAAGATTGTCAACAATTCGATTCAAGATCAAGCTCCAAAAGCCCTTGAATCCAACCAACAATGGAGATCGAATCAGAGGATATTTTCTTTCTTTTGTAAATAATATTTCAGAGGATTGTACTCAAATTTTCACAAATTAATAAATTACTATTTGCCCCTCTTTTTTTCTTTTATTTGCAGATACGAAATTTGTGTGCACAACACAAAACATATATGCATGAGTTGGTACTGATGTGAATGGTAACTATTCAATGTGTATTGTTTGAGATTAGGAAAGTAGGAAACGTAAATATTGTAATCATAGAGATACTAATATGAGAAAGAAAAGCTGGGTATGTTACAAAAGAACAAATCAAATAAGGAATCTGGCCCTTGGAGAAAAAAGGGGAAATCTTACTTTCGCGAACCAGTAATTTGTTTAAGTTCCTCCATCTGCATCTTTTTATAGAAGGAGTCCTTTCCCTGAATATGGTGTAAGCTTTTTGAAAATAAAAACAAGGTTTCGGATACAATGGCTTCTTGAGGGTATTATCATTATTTTACTTGCCCTGAATTTATAATTATTAATTTATTCAACTGAAGTGGGGGTATTATCGTCATTTTAAGTCTCCAGGGGCCTATTTGCACAAAATTGATAATATATTTGGGTTTTATGTTATGGAGGGACCTTTTTACACTATATCGATAGTAGAGGAGAGTTTTTTACACTTAACTCTTATTTTTATATATATTGCTAGTAATAATAAATTTTTTTTTTTTACACCAATAATAATAATAATAATATCCATGTGTGTGCTTGTTGTCGAGATAAAATAATAATAATAATAATAATAATAATAATAATAATAATCCTATTAAATGTTTTATAGGAACAAAACAAAACATTAAATTTTTTTTTTGCTAATAAATTGCGAAAAACACAAATTGGGAAGGGAAAAAAAAAAAAAAAAAAAAAACCAACAAATAACGGGTGGGATCGAATTGGTTTTTCACCCGCAATTTATAGCCAGGATAAGCAGATTTGGATGCTCTCCGATACCTAAGCTCCACTTCCAAGTCTCCCCACTCTTCCTAAAATTCTCTCTCTATATATACACATACACAACGATTAAGGGAAATCAGCTGTCTGAATTCTACCATGAAGAGGGAATCAACCAAAGAGGGTATAACTCCAAGCTAGGTTAAGTATCTTTATATTGATTTATGTTGGGTTTTTTTGAGGGGTTTCATTACATATTTTTGGGAAACATTACGAGATTTCATTGCTTATATGAGTTCGTTATACCTTGAATTAAGATTTTGGATTGTGCAAAATTTAGGGTTTATTGATTTTTTTTTAACCATTGTTGATTTCTGACCAGGTCGTTTAATCATGGTTCGCTCTGTAAAACTGCACACGCACATACATGCGTTTGTATGCTATTAATTTGCTAAACTGTCATTGAATAACTAAGGCTTATGTTGGTGGATTGAAACAAGTATATGCTTGGAGCTTAGCCCATGGACTAAGTTCAGGATTTGATTTAGATTACCAAATATGAAAAAAAAGAAGAAAGGACTATAAGATAGAGAATGTGGTCTGAAGGCGTATGGTTTTGTTTTCATGATTTCTTTACTTTTCCTTGAACAGCTTCTGTATGGTAGAGTAAGAAGTTTTCATGTCTGGGATTTCATATTTAGACCCTAAATTGATAATTGTTCTAATGGGCGTCACTTTTTAGGGTTTGAATTAGATTACCAAGAATGAAAATAAATGACTTTATGTAGAGAATGTGGTCTGATGGCAGATGACTTTGTTTTCTTTCCTTGAACAGCGTCTGTATGCTACAAGTGGTTTGAAGATCTTTAGACTAAGAAGATTTCATGTCTGGGATTTCATATTTAGACCCTAAATTGCTAATTATTCTAATGGGTGTCACAGTGCATTTTAGGGTTTGATTTAGATCACCAAGAATTAAAAGAAATGACTTTTAAGACAGGGAGAATGTGGTCTGCAGGCTGGTCACTTTGTTTTCATGATTGCTTTTCTTGAACTGCTTTTGTATGCTACAAGAGTGGTATGAAGATCTTTAGAGTAAGAAGATTTCATGTCTGGGATTTCATATTAAGACCCTAAATTGCTAATTGTTCTAATTGGTGTCACGGCCCTTTTGTTTGATGTTCTTTTTGGTTGTAATAGGATTGAACTAATTTTATTTATGCTGTTACAATTATTTTTTTGTGTATTGCTTACTTCGATTGGTATTCTTGATACAATTTAAGTTTGATGTCCTTTACAATGCATGTGTTGCACTTTTATTCTATTTAATAGATACTGACAGTATTGGCATGCATTACATTCTTTGTTGTGACTTGTTATCAATGGGGCTTTATCATTTTTGCTCTTGTGTTTTTAGGTTGATCAACATTTATTTTTTAGTAAACAAATGAATGTATGTATTCCTCTTGTATTTCCTTGTAAATTATATCCTTGGATTTTTGGTTTGCCATTACCATTGAAAATCTTATGGCATTAATATTAGTTTCATGTTCATTCATACAATTTCAAAAGTTATTATTTTTTTTGGTAAATGAATGAATTAAATAGATAGAAAAAAGAGAAATACAAGGGCAACTGCCCAAGGAAAGCCCACACAACAAGCAGCCTACATAAGGAAAAGACAACCCTAACAAAAAGAAGGGCTAAAGCCCTACACAGGGACAACACAACAGCCCTTAGCTAGCAACACAATAATGCACCAGTAGGGACACGCCATCACCAACAGCAGCTACAGAGGAGAAAAACAGAGGAACCATCCTTCAAATACTAAGACGAGTTGAAGACTGAGCTTGGCAAGCTCCAGGAAGCAGCAGTAGATCTATTTACTGTGTTGTCCCTCATCTTGGAAGAAAGAAAGTGGCAATGAATGACTTCAAAGATGGTTTTCCAAACAGCAACTGAAGTAGAGTGATTTCACCTGAAGATACGGTTGTTTCTTTCCCTCCAAATATAGCATAAACAACTGGCTAAACACAGCTTGAAAGTGCAAAATGTGATGGACTTACGTTTCTAGATTACAGAAGCCCACTCGACTGAAGCTGGTCAATCATAATGACCAATATAAATTTAAAAGTGTGCTGGTAATTGGTAAATCTTCCAAAAAGATGCAGAAAATGTGCAACCGGGAAAGAGGTGGGAGTGAGACTTAGCATTGGATATGCAAAGAGAGCTTATGTTAGGATGATAAAGAAAACCAAGACAATAGCCATCCGTAGTATGGAGTTTCTAACCAATTTCCATCTTTAAAACAAAAAGAATGAGAAGGCGAATTTTTATGAAACCAAATAAGATGTGACCAAGGAACTAAAGGAGAAGTAGAGGCAATAGAACTAAGAGTGTGCTTAAAATTGAATTGAACTAAGAGTCTCAGGTGGGAGTATTAATGGATTGGCATTGTTGAGAATTTTGAAGGGATGGGATAAGGGTGAAGAAGCTAGAGTGGACTCGCCATTGGTTGTGATGAATCAAGGCAATGACTTTGGCTTGATCCCCCCGCACGAAGTTAGATATAATTGAGCAATCAATCTTCTCATCCAAAGGACCTATTGGAAGCCAACATTCATGCTATTGCAAAATGTCTTTACCATGGCCAACTCGGTGGCGAATAAAGGACGAACAAGACCTATAAGGTTGAGCAAACGTCTCCAATTCAATGAGGATTGTTGAGGGACTTTAAGAGACCAGAAAATTTTAGATTTAAACAAATTATCATGGACCCAGTCAAGTCAACGGGACTACATCATCTTTGTATAAATTCCATATATGTCTCACTACAGAAACTGTATTCCACATGTCCAAATTTGGTTGTCCGAGTCTCTAAGATATCCTTGATCTTTAGGTTTGCAAACTTGATTCCTAGCCACTCTTGCTCTTGTGCTTTTAAGATCAACGCATGTCCAGCGGAATGCTCTGAGCCAAGGTTTGAAAAATTGGTTGAGTATTGGCGACTTGGCCGAGTCAAAATGGAATAGGCTCGTTGAGATACCGAGTGTGGTTGATATCTCGGTGTTAGTAAAAATTGCACATGACTCGACGAAGAAGAAGTTGTCGTTTGCCTTCTTGCTGACGTCGGAAAACCTTGTTGGAGTGGTCGACTTGAGGCGAAAAACGTTTAAGCTAGAGTTTCGTACTAGCGGCGACAAGGCTCAAGAAGGCTCCATTAATTTTTACGAGACGTGCTGATTGCCCAGATATGATCGTAGTCTTTGGGCATTACATTTAAGCCCTTCAACGTTCTAATTTTGAAAGAAAATTAAAATATCTTCCCTCATTGTTTCTGTTAGCATATATGATGGCCACGATTTCTGTTATCTGTTTGCATATATGATAACCACGATTTATGGAATAACTTACCATAATAGCTGAGATTTGATTGTGCTATAGAATATGCCATAAAATATGTTTTAGAATATGCTGTGATTTGATTTATATTTGATTTAGTTTCTTTTCTTGTAATATGAACATGTGCTCTTTTTACCTATAAATACTAGAGCTGTGAATGAGTGATTCATCTCATTCAAGCTTTTACACAATTCTCTCATTTATTTTCTTTTTATATTTCTACTTGGTATCAAAGCCAACACCTTTCCACACCTTTCAGCAGCTTTGCTACTTGTGCGATAGCCACCCTAGGCTGTTTGTGACATCGTGTGATGTTGCCTACACATGTTTTTCTGTGTTGCTGTTTTGTGATCGAAAACAGGTGTTTTTAAATTTTATAATTTCTTTTTTACTCTTCTAGGGTTGGGTAAATTAGGATAGTTGGTCTCCAACACCTAGAAGGCCTTCGGTAAAAAAAATTTAGTCTACAAAGAGGTTCCAGATATTAAGAAGGAGGCTGTCTGGCTATATGTAAGCAGATAGTGCTCCTTAAAAAAAGTATGTCTTTGGATTTTTCAGGAATGGTCTGAGGTAACATTGTTATTGTTTATGGTCTGAGGAGACCATTTGATTTATCAACAGAATTTGTGGTGTTTTTGGAGTTTTTTATTGTCGTGTGACATATTATGGCAGATTCAAGTTTTTCGACTGTTAATTCTCTTGGCTCAAGTTCTGTGGGTGGTGGTGCCATTTTTTCCACCAACTCATTAGAAAATCCAGGACTTCAAATCACCACAGTGAAGTTGGATGGTTCCAACTTTTTGATTTGGGCACAGTCTGCCAAGATGTTCATTGGTGGCAAAGGCAATATTGGCTATATTACTGGTTTTGAGAAAGAGCCAGCTGAGTTGAGAAGGCATATCCACAGTGGTTTGTAGATAATGCTATGGTTATGTCTTGGCTAGTCAATTCAATGCAAACAAACATAGATGTTGGCTATATGTTTTTGAAGACTACTAAGCAGATTTAGGATTCAGTTCAACGCACTTATTCTCAGAGGCAGAATAATGTATGAATTTTCCAGCTGGGGCGAGATATCACCAAGGTTTCTCAGGGTGACTTGACAGTTTCAGGTTACATCGCCAAGCTTCGTGCTATTTGGGAGGAGATGTCATATTATGAATCCTTTCACTCTTGGAAGAATCCAGATGATGCAGTTTTATATGCAGGGATTGTGGAGAAGAATCGAGTGTTTCAGTTTCTTATTGGGTTGAACGACGAGTTTGAGTATGCTTGTGTTCATTTATTGGGCTTATCTTCATTCCCCACTCTTGAGGATGTATACTCCTATGTGTTGACAGATGAGAGCCATTGGACTCATCCATTAGGTGTTGTTTCTGTTGATCATTCTGCTATAGCAGTTCGGGTTCCCAACCTTTTAGGAACTGCACCATCCCAGTCAGTTCAGAGCTCTATCACTGGTCCTCTTCTGGGAACGACAATGTGGACAGTGTGACCATTGTGGAAAAATTGGTCACATCAAATCTCGTTGTTATGCTCTACATGTACGCCCACCGCAATAGAAACAATAGTCTCGACCCTCTGCACATTCTATTACACAACCAGTCTCGTTGTCAACTCCTGACAACTCTGCCTCTACATCTTCTGCCACAGTTACCTTGACTCAAGCTGATTTGGACAAGTTCAAACAATTCTTCAACCAAATGGAGGCATCATCTCAGCCAACCTCCACTTATGCCCACTTAAGTACTATTGTGTCTGCACATAGCGTATCTACATCTT